CCTTCCCCCTACTCCATGTCGCTTCCACTGGAAACTTACTTTATTACTTCCAGGTGATATTAGTTTTACTATCTTCGGTGTGCCCATTGTACTTTGTAAGAACTTCTGTTATGTTATTTACCATGTGAAATTGCAGCCATCTGGACTCCTAGGCTTACTCCTTCATTAAGCTCATGCATTTGGAAGCTTCTAGCTCTTCCTGCCTCAAGAAGGAGCCAGGTGGAGGTGGTTAGGAATGGACAAACCTTTGAGGAGCATTTGGTCAGTAATATATATGTTGAGGGAGAAGCAGTAGCAATGAATACAAGGGATGCAAGGGATCCAACAGTGTTGGATCAGCACCTAGTAGGGCATACTAGGCACTAGTAATAAAGAAAATACGCCTTGGAGAAAGGACAGGTGTATTAGCACCTATAGGGAAGAGAGAACTGAGGGTAAGTACAGAGAAAGCCTAGCTGGCCTTGAGTCACCAGTGCAAACTCTGAAATCATTCCAGACTTTAGTTCCCCATTTGTGGAATGGAAAGAGTAATAGCACCCTACTTCTTAGAGTTATGGTGAGGATTCATTCAGTGCACTAATGCGTCTGCAAGTGCTCTGTGAGGTGTGAGGCACAAGGAAGGTAGGCCCAGGACACTCCAGTATTTTTGTTTCAGTTGGCCTCTTGAAGTTCTATCCTACATATGATTCCAGTCAAGCCGCTGAACCCAGAATGCCAGATGCTGCAGTTTCTCTGAGCCCCCTATAGGTGCCCCTACAGCCTGGTTTTTTGAAGTAGGAGGTTTTCAGGGAAATACCATCTCCCCATTTATTTGAGCAGCATGACTCCAACTGGCCCTAGCACAGCCCTACTCATGAATGACCACAAGTGCCTGGGGAGGGAGGTACCACCTTCACCTTAGCTCTTTAGTATCAAATAAGTGGTATAGAGGGTTTCCTAACATCCCTTTAGTTGTAGGTAGAAGTATAGAAGCTTCAGTGAAACTGAGCACCTTTCAGGTCTTCTTGTCCAAAGCCTGCTATGCACTGTGGGAAGGACAGATCTTCATGCCTGTCACTAATTGTATACTCTTCAGAGGCATGCCCATCTCATCTGTCTTAGGAAAATAGCTCATGAGGAACCATCTAAGCCAAATTCAAGGTCTTTGAGTAGAGAATCTCAATTAACTGCTTTTTGTTTTCACCGCATACTACCCATGGCTTCTGTTGTTGTTGTTGTGACCCATGGCTTCTTGCAGCTGCCTTAGCCATTTGCATACCCCCAGTCCACCCCAGGATTTTATGTTTTATAAGGAAGCAAATGACCTGAGCCAGTGGAAGATCTATTGGTCAACTTTAAATCAACATGAAGAAGGGACTTGCTCAAGATCACATAATGAGGCAGAAGCAGAAACCGGTATTGAAGGCAAGACTCTCAGGAGTGTGTTCTTTTCATTATATCAGTCTAGCCTACTAGAGTAAGCTTCATGAGAACAGAGACGGTTTCCCACCATCCATTGTATCCCTGGTACCTAACACAACGTACCTAACACAAGGTACTTGGGATACAATGGATGGTGGGCATGGAGTAGATTCTCAACAAATATTTATTGAATAGATATGTCAATAGCTACTATTTTCATGTTGGAACTGTCTTCTTTAGACTCCTTTAGCTAGATCTACCAGACAGCCGAATAACAATTCCATTGGTCCACTGGAAAATACCTAATGTGGACCCAGGTGAGTCCTGGCAGAATGGAGCAGGGTAGCGCCAGGTAATGGGAAGGCATTGCCTCTCTTGTGCACCTTGGAGAAACTGTTTATCTGTGAATGGCCAGCTTGTGCATAGGCATTTCTGCTCCCTTTTCCCACATCTTCACATAATACGGTAGTGTTCATGTCAAGTGGGAATATTCAAATCAAAGCTTTTTGTGGATTCTAACAGGCAGCTATGCAAGCGTTTCTGTCCACCTTTGTGAAGTAGCCCAAAGTTTGACTGTAGAGTACATATTTGAGACATTAATCAGGTTTTTTATTTTTTTGTGTGTGTGCTGCTCCTTATGGCATGGCCAGCAGGCAGGGCCACATTGAATAATTTAATCCTGAGAGGTCTGTGCACCTGAGGTTTAGGGATTGGGTTGGCCCCTGTACTGAGGCATAGGAAGAGACAAGCATAGATCAGGGAGGTTAGCAAGGAAGTCCAGAGATCATAATGTTGGGGCACCTATTAGCTATCCTCTGTTGCTATTGCTACTGTTGCCACCACCACCACCAACCAGGCTGCTTTAGAGCCCAGAGCTGCATATCTTTGCAGATTTGGTATGTTCTGGCCAAGGTAGGCTAATTTTGTAGGCAGTAGGAGGTATTTTCCTCCCATCAACTCCAGAGACAGGGGTAAGGCCAGCATTTGAGAGGTGTAGGTTTGTACTTACTAGGTAAGGTTGGCTGTCCTAAAATAGAGAGAGCTTCTGAAGGTCAACTAGTCTTTAAAGGACTTTTTCCGTCTTTCTTTTTAGTACTGAGCTAGACACCATATAAGGAAAGTTAACAGACACATTCTCTGCTATGTGGTAGGACAGATTTAAATAAAGACAGGCTTTGTTTTACAATTTTGGATTAATTTTTCATTATGAAACTAATACATATTTGTTGTAAGAAATGAAAGAGCATTGAAAAATATAAAGCCTCCTGTCTTCTGCCCCTAACTGTATTCTCCAGAGACAACCAACGTTAACCAGTTAGTTATGTGAACATAAACTTTTTTTTCTTTTTTATTTTTTTATTTTTTGAGATGAAGTCTTGCTCTGTTACCCAGGCTGGAGTGCAGTGGTGCAGTCTTGGCTCACTGCAGCCTTCACCTCCTAGGTTTAAGTGAGTCTCATGCCTCAGCCTCCCAAGTAGTGGGGATTACAGGTGCCCACCACCACATCTGGCTATTTTTTTCTATTTTTAGTGGAGTTGTGGTCTCGCCATGTTGACCAGCCTGCTCTTGAACTCCTGACCTCAGGTGATCACCTGTCTTGGCCTCCCAAAGTGCTGAGATTACAGGCATGAGTCACTGCTCCCAATCTATAGACTCTTTTTTCATGCATTTGTACATATATGCCTTTAAACGCACAGATAGTACAAATCCATATTGTTCTGCTTTTTAAACTTAGTAAGTGCTGGCCATATTTTAATGTCAAATTCGATTTTAAAGTCTACAGGGGCTCATTTTTTTTTTTTTTTTTTTTGGATGGAGTTTCGCTCTTGTTACCCAGGCTGGAGTGCAATGGCGCGATCTCGGCTCACCGCAACCTCCGACTCCTGGGTTCAGGCAATTCTCCTGCCTCAACCTCCTGAGTAGCTGGGATTACAGGCACGTGCCACCATGCCCAGCTAATTTTTTTTTTGTTTTTTTAGTAGAGACAGGGTTTCACCGTGTTGACCAGGATGGTCTTGATCTCTTGACCTCGTGATCCACCCGCCTCGGCCTCCCAAAGTGCTGGGATTACAGGCTTGAGCCACCGTGCCCGGCCCTACAGGGGCTCATTAATAACAAATAGGTTGAACACTTTTAAACATTATTATTATTATTATTATTATTATTATTTGAGGCAGAGTGTTGCTCTTTTTGCCCAGGCTGGAGTGCAGTGGTGCAATCTCGGCTCACTGAAACCTCCGCCTTCCAGGTTCAGACACTTCTCCTGCCTCAGCCTCCTAAGTAACTGGGATTACAGGCACACGCCACCATGCCCAGCTAATTTTGTATTTTTAGTAGCCATGGGGTTTCACCATGTTGGCCAGGCTGGTCTTGAACTCCTAACTTCCAGTAATCCACTGGCCTTGGCCTCCCAAAGTGCTGGGATTATAGATGTGAGCCACTGTGCTCACCCCCCCCCCCCCCCCCCATTTTTTTTAATTTTAATAGAGACAGGATCTCACTCTGTCACCCAGGCTGAAGTGCAATGGTGTTATCATAGCACACTGTAACCTTCAACTCCTGGGCCCAAGCAATCCTCCTGTCTCAGCCTCCTGAGTGGCTAAGTCTACAGGTGCATGCCCAGTTATTATGATTTTTTTTAGTTTTTTTGTACAGACAAGGTCTTGCTATGTTGCCTTGGCTAGACTTGAGCTCTTGGGCTCAAGAAATCCTCTCACCTCAGCCTCCCAAAGTGTTGGGATTTCAGGCGTGAGCTACCAATGCCTGGATAAATGGGTGGAACAGTTAAAATCTATACAAATAAAGGGGCCATACTCTGAATTAAGTGGAAAATAAAGAGGAAGTAGTTAGGATTTTTCTGTCTGAGAGGGAAGGCTTTTTGAGGAAGATGTGATATGTGGACCCTTCTGTTGGGATGAAAGATGTTGGTAGCTGCTCTCCTTTCCAAGCTCAGTAGGCCCCACCTATAGAGATTGCTTTAGATCCTGTGTCTAAATGATCTCAGTGGAGTGACTAGCGGTAGGATAAACTTGTTTTCTGCTCTTAGCATGGTCCCCTTCCTGTTCTGTGGTTTTGCCACCTCGTGGTGGTTTGATTCCAGATAATACCTGACTGAGAATCCTGTGCCTCAGAAGACCGCTGGCTGTTGGAACTGTCTGAGGTGAAGGAAAGAAACTTTGTGAGTGTACATATTTGTGTGTTTGTAGTAGGCACACATGCTTTTCTAATCTTCTCCAGAGAAGAGCAGTGGAGGCTGATCCAATGGTAGTGGGTTATCAGATGGTAGTTACCAGATGGTTATCAGGTGGCAGTGGGTTATCAGAACTTACTAACATTAGTGTCACTCAAGTTTTTTTGTTTTTCTATTTTCTGAGACAGAGTCTTGCTGTGTTACCCAGGTTGGAGTGCAGTGGCATGATCTTAGCTCACTACGACCTCCACTTTCCAGGTTGAAGCAATTCTCATGCCTTAGCCTCCCAAGTACAGGCGTGCACCACTGTGCCTGGCCAATTTAAATATTTTTAGTAGAGCTAAGGTTTTGCCATGTTGGCCAGGATGGTCTCGAACTCCTGGCCTCAAACAATCTGCCTGCCTTGACCTCCCAAAGTGTTGGGATTGCAGGTGTGAGCCACCACGCCCCAGTCAGTAAAGTTGGTATACAACTTCCCACTGCTAAATTTGACTGGCTTAAAAAAAAAACAAAAACAAAGAAGAGCTGTGGAAGGGCCTGTCAATTATCAGAGAAGCTGGATTAGAATCCCCTTCCCAACAACATACACATCAGAGATTTTGTCCAGGTGGCAGAAAAGTAGAATTTTGCAGAGCACTCAGCTGTAGCTGATCCACCAGTTGAATAATTGAGGAAGATAGTGATTTGTGAAATACAAATAAACATGATATATATTGAAAGAAAAATTATAGCCTAGTGGTCACAGGTCCTGGTCTTAAAAGCTTGCTAGCTTGAGGGTATTGATCATGTTGAAAGAGCCAGGCCAGTAGAGGAGAAGCAGAATTACCAGAAATGCTGGCTCTATTCTGCCCACTCATGGCAGGCCCCACCTTTCTCTTGTCTTTTTATTCCCACACTTCCACAGTGGGTGTGGCAGAGTTCTGCTTGCCCAGCCTTTAATCCTGGAACATCTGCTACCAGAGGTTGACCCTGACTGGGCTAGGCCCACAGGCCACTTACAGGCATTATATTCCCTTCCCCTTCAGACAAACAGGAAGCTGCCTGCACACTCTTAGTGATTGGCACTTTCAGAAGCTTTTTGGGGCAGGGAGAGCAAAACGTTGAGATCAGACTCCAAAAGGAAAAGGAAATGATATTTTAAATAATTTCCTGGGTTACTTGAGAAGGTGTGGATCCACAGTATCTCCAGGCATTTATTGTAGGCCAGGCTTGTAGGAATATTTGTGTTTCCATACTTGGTGTTTTGACTTTGGGGAAGTCCCTTAAACTCCCTGAGCCTCCCCTTCTCCCATTGGTAAAGTGGGAATGATAATGTGTTAACCTTAGAATTGGTGGTGGGAAACTTGGATAAGTTAACATTGGAAGGCTCTGAAATGTTAGCTCTGTAGAAAATCAAGTGTACAGGATTCAGGTGCTCAAAGAAGTTTAAATCATGTTTTAATAGTCTCTGTTGACAAAAGTAGTAGTGTGTCAGTAGATGAAAGACTTTTAGCTCACCATTAAGAATGGTTATGATCCTTAAAAGGGTGAGCCTCCGTTATCAGAAAATGTCCCCTTCTGTGGAACAGCTCATTTATAGACCATTTAGGACCAATGAGGCATTGCCACATAATCATCTCTTAACTATCCATAATAAAACTCTCTTTTCAGCTACCTGTGGATTGCCTATTCTAAATAAGGTGAGCCCAGGGAATACCAGCTCTTCTGATAGTCCAAATAACACATAATTAGTTATGCAAACCTGTCCCAAAAGTTCCCAGGGTGAAATGGTTAGGTTGCTATTGAGTAATCCATAGAGTATTACTCTTATGTTGCCGTGGGTAACTGACCTTCACTATAAAGGCAAATGGTTAACTTTGCACTCTGGAGCAAGGAAAGTGATAGACTTCTATTTCTCAGGTCATTTGTGATCTCACTGACCATCCCTGCAGCTGCGAACTCAGAGGCAGCACATTTATGAGAATGGGATTGGAAAGGAGGCAATCCTTCAAAGATTGGAGGTTGAGAAGACATGGTTGAGTGTGCCCTGCATAGAATTTTATTCCAGGGAGAGTTGAGTAGGTCTCCCTTCACTACACTCTGTTGGTATTGTCCTTTGGCAAGAAGAGCCAAACTTAAAGAAAATCTTAAAAGAGCCATTAAGGATCTCTTGGTGCAAGTTCTTCTGGAACCTCTAGCGATTTAACAACCCAGAAAAGGAAATTGCAGGGTTAGGAGTCTGGAAAGGAGTTATAAGTTTAGGGGATAGCTGCCCATTTTCCAAATAGTTTTCTGTTTAAAATAGCCAAGTCAGATGCGAATTGAAGGAATCTCTTCACAGGTTGGCTGGCATTGCCCTGTAATGCTCTTTCAGTGCCCAGCTAATGATAATTCTCTACATGTGTAATAAGTTTCATAGTTGTAAAACTCTTACTATGTCATTTGGTATTCATCAACTCTCTTCAGTTGGCAGGTTAGGAATTATTATTATTATTTTTTAATTTTTAAAAATACAGACACAGTTTCACTGTGTTGACCAGGCTAGTCTTAAGCTCCTGGGCTCAAGTGATCTGCCCACTTCAGCCTCCCAAAGTGTTGGAATTACAGGTGTAAGCCACCACACCCAGCCAGAAATTATTATCTTTACTTTTACATAAGGGAGAACTGAGGCTCAAAGACTTTAAGTGACTGCAAAAATTACTCAGCTAATGAGTAATGGAGACAAGGCTTGATTGGGAGACGGAAGACTTTGGTTTTAGACTATGCATAGGGTGGAGTGTGGGAAGGGAAGGCAGTGTTGTTTCATAAAGGCCTGGACTTAAGCTCTGGTCATGGTTAGGTCAGAGTTCTGAATCTAGAAAGGAAGTTTCAGCTTTAAACATTTGGCCCTTCCCCCATTCCAATGGCTGCCCAACCTCTCTTCAGTTTCTCTTCTAAAAGATCGTAAGTCAATACTAATGTTTAGAGAGAATTCTAGCACTTGGGGGCTGTGTGGGGATGGCCACCTGTTATGTTTTTGTTCTGCCTGCTTGGGGCTTGGTCTGACTCTAGTTTTGCAACTGGCTTCCTGTGTAACCCATTCTTGGTAGTGTCAGACCACTACTTTCAAAGCTAGTTGTGCCTTCCACTTGGTTGAGCCAATAACTTATTCAGTTTTGCCATGCTCCTGGACATATAGGAGTTGCTTGTTAGTACGGGAGAATTGTTTGGGGGCTGCTTAGACCTAGCTAATGTAGGGACTTGTTTGTACCTTGGTGGGACCAAGAGCATCGATCCAACTTTTTGTTGAGAGGAGGAGGTATTAGAAAATCATGGAAAGGGCACTTTTTTAGTTCAAGAGCTGTTGTTTATTCTGGGCCCTGCTGTTAGCTTTCCAGAGCAATCTTGACCAAGACCTTGCTCCTTTTTGGGCCATAGCCTGTTCCACAAGAGGTTGGTCTGGCTAATCTCTGAGGGCTATTTCCTGCTCTGAAGCTCTGATTTATTCAGAAATGTTACACTCCACTAACAATGGAGACTGGTCTGTCCCACCGTGGGTACAGGAATGGTGGCACACATCTCAAAAATGGTTTTGTTCCATGGGGAACTGAGCCAAATGGACAACTTTACTAGCTCTGAAAGGTTAGAAGTGGTCAGCTGTGTCTGAATTTTGTAAGGCAGCATAACTGGGTGGAGGGGTGGGCAGGCAAGGGTGGCAGGCATCAGAGGATGGATGTGAATGGAGAGGGAGGAAGTGCCCCGGAGAGGTAGCTCATAGAGAACCCACCAGACATAGGCGATAAACTGACATCATGAAGTAGATGGTTTGTCCCAGTCCATGACCAGGTAGTTCCTGGTCACAAGCTGTTGGTACACCCTGAGGAATGCAATACCGTCACATGGGAACGTGTCACTAGAGCTGCCAAAAGGCTGGGGATGCAGGAAGAGCAGCTCTTTCTTGTCATCATTCCCTCTGTGTAGGGTGGGAGGTTCTTAAAATTGGGCCATAGAGACCATATGTGGTGAATGAAGAAAACAATTCATAATGGCAGATAGGCCTGGTCTATCAGAGAAAGGAAAAGTTGTAATGCTTGCCTGATGTCAAAGCATGTGGGGTTGGATTTGCTAGTGCCAATACCTTTTAATTTTTTTTTTTTAATTGTACTTTAGGTTCTGGGGTACATGTGCAGATCATGCAGGATTGTTGCATAGGTACATACCTGGCAATGTGGTTTGCTGCCTCCATCCCCCCATCACCTACATCTGGCATTTCTCCCCATGTTATCCCTCCCTGACATCCTCCCGCCCTGCTGCCCCTCCCTAGGCTCCCCCAACAGACCCCAGTGTGTGATGCTCACCTCCCTGTGTCCATGTGTTCTCATTGTTCGACATCCACCTATGAGAAAGAACATGTGGTGTTTGACTTCCTGTTCTTGTGTCAGTTTGCTGAGAATGATGGTTTCCAGATTCATCCATGTCTCTACAAAGGATACGAACTCATCATTTTTTATGGCTGCATAGTATTCCATGGTGTATATGTGCCACATTTTCCTTGTCCAGTCTATCGATGAGCATTTGGGTTGGTTCGAGGTCTTTGCTATTGCAAACAGTGCCGCTATGAACACACATGTGCATGTGTCTTTATAATAGAATGATTTATAATCCTTTGGATATATACCCAGTAATGGGATTGCTGGGTCAAATGGAATTTCTATTTCTAGGTCCTTGAGGAATCACCATACTGTCTTCCACAATGGTTGAACTAGTTTACACTCCTACCAACAGTGTAAAAGTGTTCCTATTTCTCCACATCCTCTCCAGCATCTGTTGTCTCCTGATTTTTTAATGATCACCATTCTAACTGGCATGAGGTTGTATCTCAATGTGGTTTTGATTTGCATTTCTCTAATAATCCGTGATGATGAGCATTTTTCATGTTTCTTGGCCTCATATATGTCTTCATTTGAAAAGTATCTGTTCACATCCTTCTCCCACTTTTGGATGGGTTTGTTTTTTTTCTTGTAAATCTATTTTAGTTCTTTGTAGATTCTGGATATTAGCCCTTTGTCAGATGGGTAGATTGCAAAAATTTTTTTCCATTCTGTTGGTTGCCAGTTCACTCTAATGATTGCTTCTTTTGCTGTACAGAAGCCATGGAGTTTAATTAAGTCCCATTTGTCTATTTTGCCTTTTGTTGCCAATGCTTTTGGTGTTTTAGTCATGAAATCCTTGCCTATGCCTATGTCCTCAACATTTTTGCCTAGGTTTTCTTCTAGGGTTTTTATGGTGTTAGGTCTTATGTTTAAGTCTTTAATTCAACTGGAGTTAATTTTAGTGTAAGGTGTCAGGAAGGGGTCCAGTTTCAGCTTTCTGCACACTGCTAGCCAGTTTTCCCAACACCATTTATTAAACAGGGAATCCTTTCCCTATTGCTTGTTTTTGTTAGATTTGTCAAAGATCTGGTGGTTGTAGATGTGTGGCATTGCCTACAAGGCCTCTGTTCTGTTCCATTGATCTATATCTCTGTTTTGATACCAGTACCATGCTGTTTTGATGACTGTAGCTTTGTCATATAGTTTGAAATCAGGTAGCATGATGCCTCCGGCCTAGTTCTTTTTGCTTCGGATTGTCCTGGCTATGCAGGCTCTCCTTTGGTTCCATATGAAGTTTAAGGTGGTTTTTTTTTCTAGTTCTGTTATTGGTATCTTGATGGGGATAGCGTTGAATCTATAAATTACTTTGGGCAATATGGCCATTATCATGATACTGGTTCTTCCTAACCATGAGCATGGAATGTTTCTCCGTTTGTTTGTGTCCTCTCTTATTTCCTTGAACAGTGGTTTGTAGTTCTCCTTGAAGAGGCCCTTTACATCCTTTTTCAGTTGTATTCCTAGGTATTTTATTCTCTTTGTAGCAATTGTGAATGGGAGTTGACTCATGATTTGGCTCTCTGTTAGTCTGTTATTGGTGTATAGAAATGCTTGTAATTTCTGCACATTGATTTTGTATCCTGGGACTTTGCTGAAGTTGCTTATCAGTTTCAGCAGATTTTGGGCTGAGATGATAGGGTCTTCTAAATATACAATCATGTCATCTGCAAATTGAGACAATTTGACTTACTCTTTTCCTAATTGAATACCTTTTATTTTTTTTTTTTTTCTTGCCTAATTGCTCTGGCTAGAACTTCCAATATTATATTGAATAGGAGTGGTGAGAGAGGGCATCCTTGTCTAGTGCCAAATTTGAAAGGGAGTGCTTCCAGTTTTTGCCCATTCAGTATGATATTAGCTGTAGGTTTGTCGTAATAGCTTTTATTATTTTGAGATATGTTCCTTCAATACCTAGTTTACTGAGAGTTTTTAGCATAAAGGCCTGTTGAATTTTGTTGAAGGTCTTCTCTGCATCTATTGAGATAATCCTGTGGTTTTTGTCTTTGGTTCTGTTTATGTGGTGAATTACGTTTATAGACTTGCGTATGTTGAACCAGCCTTGCATCCCCAGAATGAAGCCTACTTGATCGTGATGGATAAGCTTTTTGATGTGCTGTTGCAATTGGTTTGCCAGTATTTTATTGAAGATTTTTGCATCTATGTTCATCATGGATATTGGCCTGAAGTTTTCTTTTTTTGTTGAGTCTCTGCCGGGTTTTGGTATCAGGATGATGTTGGTCTCATAAAATGATTTGGGAAGGATTCCCTCTTTATAGATTGTTTGGAATAGTTTCAGAAGGAATGACACCAGCTCCTCTTTGTACATCTCGTAGAATTCAGCTGTGAACCTGTTTGGACCTGGACTTATTTTGGTTGGTAGGCTATTAACTGCTGCCTCAACTTCAGCCCTTGTTATTGGTCTGTTCAAGGTTTCAGCTTCTTCCTGGTTTAGGCTTGGGAGGGTGCAAGTGTCCAGGAATTTATCCATTTCTTCCAGGTTTATGGTTTATGTGCATAGAGTTGTTTGTAGTTTGTGTTTCTGTGGAGTTAGTGGTGATATCCTCTTTATCGTTTTTTATTGCATCTATTTGATTCTTCTCCCTTTTCTTTTTTATTAATTTGGCTAGTGGTCTATGTATTTTGTTGATCTTTTCAAAAAACCAGCTCCTGATTTATTGATTTTTTTGAAGGATTTTTTGTGTCTCTATCTCCTTCATTTCTGTTCTGATCTTAGTTATTTCTTGTCTTCTGCTAGCTTTTGAGGGTTTTTTTTTTTTTTTTTTTCTTGCTCCTCTGGCTCTTTAAATTTCAAGGATAGGATATTGGTGTTTGATCTTCCCTCGCTTCTCTGGTGGGCACTTATTGCTATTAATTTCCCTCTAGACACTGCTTTAAATGTGTCCCAGAGATTCTGCTACGTTGTGTCTTCGTTCTCATTGGTTTCAAAGAACATCTTTATTTCTGCCTTCATTTGTTTATCCAGTTGACATTCAGGAGCCAGTTGTTCAGTTTCCATGAAGTTGTGTGGTTCTGAGTTAGTTTCTTAATTCTGAGTTCTAATTTGATTGTACTATTGTCTGAGAGACTGTTATGATTTCCATTCTTTTGCATTTGCTGAGGAGTGATTTACTTCCAATTATGTCGTCAATTTTACAGTAGGTGCCATGCGGTCCTGAGAAGAATGTATATTCTGTGGATTTGGGGTGGAGATTTCTGTAGATCTCTATTAGGTCTGCTTGGTCCAGATCTGAGTTCAAGTCCTGTATATCCTTGTTAATTTTCTGTCTTGTTGATCTGTCTAATATTGACAGTGGAGTGTTAAAGTCTTCCACTATTATTGTGTGGGAGTCTACATCTCTTTGTAGGTCATTAAGAATTTGCTCTATGTACCTGGGCCCTCATGTATTGGGTACATATATATTTAGAATCGTTAGTTCTTGTTGATGTGTTGATCCTTTTACCGTTACGTTATGCCCTTTGTCTCTTTTGATCTTTGTTGGTTTAAAGTCTATTTTATCAGAGACTAGGATTGCAACTCCTGCTTTTTTTTTGCTCTCTATTTGCTTGATAAATCTTCCTCCATCCCTTTAATTTTAGCCTATGTGTGTCCTTGCATGTCAGATGGGTTTCCTGAATACAGCACACCAATGGGTTTTGACTTTTTATCCAATTCGCCAGTCTGTGTCTTTTGATTGGGGCATTTTGTCCATTTCAATTGAAAGTTAATATTGTTATGTGTGAATTTGATCCTGCCATTTTGATGCTAGCTGAATGTTTTGCCCGTTAGTTGACACATTTTCTTTATTGTGTCAATGGTCTTTACCATTTGGTACATTTTCTGGAGTGGTTGGTACGGGTTGTTCCTTTCCTTGTTTAGTGCTTCTTTCAGGAGCTCTTGTAAGGCAGGCCTGGTGGTGACGAAATCTCTCAGCAATTTCTTGTCCATGAATGATTTTCTTTCTCCTTCACTTATGAAGCTTAGTTTGGCTGGATATTAAATTCTAGGCTGAAAGTTCTTTTCTTTAAGGATGTTGAATATTGGCCCCCACTCTCTTCTGGCTTGTAGGGTTTCTGCTGAGAGATCTGTCCTGAGTCTGATGGGCTTCCCTTTGTGGGTAACCCGACCTTTCTCTCTTGCTGCCCTTAGCATTTTTCCCTTCATTTCAACCCTGGTGAATCTGACAATTATCTACCTTGGGGTTGCTCTTCTTGAGGAATATCTTTGTGGTGTTCTCTGTATTTCCTGGACTTGAATATTGGCCTGCCTTGCTAGGTTGGGGAAGTTTTCCTGGATAATATCCTGAAGAGTGTTTTCCAGCTTGGATTCATTCTCTCCGTCACATTCAGGTACACCTATCAAACGTAAATGAGATCTTTTCACATAATCCCATATTTCTTGGAGGCTTTGTTTATTTCTTTACACTCTTTTTTCTCTATTCCTGCCTTCTCATTTTATTTCATTGAGTTGATCTTCAATCGCTGATCTCCTTTCTTCTGCTTGATCAATTCAGCTATTGAAACTTATGTATGCTTCGTGAAGTTCTCGTGCTATGTTTTTCAGCTCCATCAAGTCATTTATATTCTTTTCTAAGCTGTTTATTCTAGTTAGCATCTGATCTAACCTTTTTCCCAGGTTCTTAGTTTCTTTGCATTGGGTTAGCACATGTTCTTTTAGTTCTGCGAAGTTTGTTATTACCCACCTTCTGAAGCCTGTTTCTGTCAATTCATCAGATTCATTCTCCATCCATCTTTGATCCCTAGCTGGTGAGAAGTTGTCATCCCTTGTAGGAGGTTTTTGGTGTTTTCTTCCTTTTTGCGCTGGTTTCTTCCCATCTTAATGACTTTATCTACTTGTGGTCTTTGTAGTTGGTGACTTTTGGATGGGTTCTCTGAGTGGATGTCCTTTTTGTTGATGTTGAAGCTATTTCTTTCTGCTTCTTAATTTTCCTTCTAACAGGCCCCTCTGCTGCAGGACCGTTGGCAGCCCACTCTAGACCCCACTCGCCTGGGGATCACCAGCAGGGGCTGCAGAACAGTAAGGGTTGCTGCCGGTTTCTTCCTCTTCTATCCTTGTCCCAGAAGGGTATCTGCCCACTGTTGGCCTGAGCTCTCCCTTATGAGGTGTCTCTTTGGGTATAGGGGGTTGGGGAGTTGCTTGAGGAGACAGTCTGTACCTTATAGGAGCTCAACTGCTGTGCTGGGAGCTCCGTTGTTCCATGCAGAGCTGCTGGGCAGGTACCTTTAAGTCTGCTGCAGCTGAACTCATAACCGCCTCTTTTCCCAGGTCCTCTGTCCTAGGAAGGTTGGCTTTATTTATAAGTTCCTGTTGTGCTGCTGCCTTTTTTCATAGATGCTCTGCCCTGCAGGGAGTAGCCTTGTCACAGTCTGCTAGTAGAGGTGTTGCTGAGCTGCCGCAGGCTCTGCCCAGCTGCTGTGTGAACTGCCTCGGTAGTGGTGGTCGCCCTTCCCCCCACTGAGCTGGACCATCCTGGGTCCTGCTGCACTTGCTGTGAAACTCTCAATCCAGAGCATTTCAGATTGCTTGTTTCGTGGGGGTGGTACCCGCTGAGCCAGGTCGCCTGTCTCCCTGTCTCTGCCCCCTCCCTTTCAGTTGAATGGGTGGCTCTGTCTCTCAGGTGTTACAGGCACCAGTCGAAACAGCCACCCAGGCTTTTGTGAGTTTCTATGTGCCGTCCCAGCACTGGCTGACACCACCGGGCTGAAAACTCATGGCACTTTTCGGTCCAGGAATCTCCTGGTCTGTGGGCAGTGAAAACTTGTTTGGAAATGTGGTGGGCACTCACCCTCTATGCTGTTCTTGCTGGGAACTGCACTCCGGAGCTGTTCCTATTCGGCTATCTTGTATCCTCCTCTTAATTTTTTTTTCTTGTGGACTTGAAGCAAGGTTTGGTAAAAGGGGGAAATTTGAACTCATAACCCTAGGAGACCAGAATGAAGCTGAATGTTGACTGTTAGAGCTGCCCTTCTTATAGTAGAGGAATGAGTTATGCATGGAGCCATCTAGGCTCCTTGCCTTCTGATCCACCTTGGCTAGGGTGTACCTGGGGAAGTCCAGCTTGCCTGTGGAATTGATCTTGACCAGTTTATAGGAGCTTGTATAGACTATGATTAATTGTTCTGGGTTAAGGCTTTGGGAATCAGTATTTTCTAAGCACTCCCACAGGGAACTGTAACATTGGGCAAAGATTGCTTACTGCATCTCTAATAGAAGCCTCTCCTTGCTACATGGGACAAAACTGAACCAGAGAAAGGGGAGGCCTGTGCCTATGCTAATATGGCATGGATACAGATTATTTGAGCTCTGAGCTAATGCTTTGTCCCGGTTCTTTGAACTCTTCTAACAACTCAATTGGGCATCCTGTAAACTTGGTCAGAGGTCCAGGAGGAGATAGTTGTTATTACCCCCAACCCACAAGTGCTGGAGGAAGGGGTGGGGTTAACTAATTGCACCCAAGGGAGGTGAACATCCCTTTTTAGAGAGTGAGTTCACTGTCTGGGCATGTGCAGACCAGTGGTTGGGGAAAAGGGGAAGCATAGAACAGGATAGGAGGTGAGTAATGCTGTGGGCATCAAGACATTTAGTTAGTGGGAACATTACAAGGAGTTGGTGAGCTTAAGGACCTGGTGACTTCGGTCCCCAGATCCATGTGGACTTGCAGGGCTGGGGCCCTGTCTCAGTGTCTAAGATTTGTGTCTTGTGCTTGGGAACTGAGGACTGCTTGTTGTCTGCTTCCTGCTTCAGCTGGATGGCCTTTACGCTTGATTAGGGAGTGAGCCCAACCATAGAGCAGCCTCTCCTTGGCCCCAGCCCCTACTGCTCCTATCCTTTCAGAGTGCATCAAGCTCTCCCACATGTCTGGGCACACCATATCACAGTGTGGTCTTTGATTATTTTTCCTCTATTTTACATGTAGTATTCTGATTGAGAATGAGCTCCTTCTATAGTAGGAAAGGGGGCTTTGTTCCAAGTCCTTCCTAGGGGGATGGAAATGTGCTTAATGGAGATAAGCAAGCAGATGAGTAGGACACTTAGGGTTCCTTTTCTCTCACCAGTGTCAAAAGGAACTTTTCTTAGGAGAGAAAAGTGACTGGGAGATTTAGGGTGGCTATAGTACACACTTCATTCTGTGGGGTCCAAGAATTATGTCTTTTTCCTGCTAGATGGGGAACCCCTTGAAGTAGTACTTGTCATAGTCTCTGTATTCTCAGTGCAGAGTAAAATACCCCCACACTTTGCAGGGTAAGGACATTTTTTTCTCTTATTCTCTCCCTTGAGTCGGATTAGATTCCCTAGAAGCCCTGTATCTCCTGGCTGAAGACTGTGGAAGCTAATGGGGGAGGAAAGGAAGGGCTGCATCTATGGGTTGGCTGTCTATGGCACCTCTTGTATCCAGAATTCCACCCATAGTTCTTCATAGTAGTTAACTTTTAAGGTGTATACACTTTCACATGTAGATGTTCTTTTTTTTTTTTTTTTTTGAGACAGAGTTTTGCTCTTGTTGCCCAGGCTGGAGTGCAGTGGTGCTATCTCGGCCATCTCAGCTCACTGCAACCTCCGCCTCCCAGGTTCAAGTGATTCTCCTGCCTCAGCCTTCCAAGTAGCTGAGATTACAGGTGCCGGCCACCATACCTGGCTAATTTTTTGTATTTTTAGTAGGGATGGGGTTTCACCATGCTGGCGAGGCTGGTCTCAAATGCCTGACCTTAGGTAATCCACCCACCTTGGCCTCCCAAAGTGCTGGGATTACAGGCATGAGCCACTGCGCCCGGCTCTTTTCTTTTTCTGTAGGAGGAACAAGTGTGAAGAGCCAAGGTGGGAGGTTAGAAGGTGGACACTCCTGAACAGTTGTTTCCTCCTACCACGTTTGAGAGAAGGGTCAACCAGATCATGAGCATCCTGAACCTATCCAGAGGAGAAAGGCCTTAATACAGTGTTGGCCACTAATGGAAGTCATTAGCCTTGGAGCTCTGTGGTGGCCTGCTTTCATTCTTAGCCTCTCACCCCCGTTGAGTTTGGCATATCTAGCTTGATTTCCTTTTATTCTCCAAACATTTTCTGAGGGAATAGGGAGAGAAGCAAGCTACACATGTCCCTTTGCTTCTTGAGCCCTTAATTGACTAGCTGGGAGGTATTCCCTTCTTGCTTCTTTCTTTCTTCTTCATGAATGCCTCTTGCTCTCTAAGGTTAGGGGTTTGAGCCAGAGGTCCGGGAGTCAGGTAGTTTATGACTCAGCCCCTGGCCTGGGGCCTCCTATTGTGGGGATCAGCTTGGCCCAGGGCCTTTCTAATGTGTGAATGAACTTTTGGGGAAGGTGGTTAGTGGTCTAAGCTTATTATCTATTTTTTCTGCCAATGTCTTTGCGTAGGAAGGGTGTAGGTGACTATGTATGATTAATTGGTATGTGGGCCAGTTATCTTTGGCTCGCTTTCAGATAAAACCCTTGCTGCCCATCTTTTAGGGAAAGTAGAATGTGAAAAGAGATATTTATCCAGGGTTGAGGCCTTGCAGAGAGTTCATGGAGTTATCAGGTACAAATATTTAGTTTAGTCCAGGAATTGGTGAACTTGCCTGTGGGACCAGTTTTTGTATATATTGTAAGAATAGATTTTATGTTTTTAGGAGCATTTTTTTGTTTTGTTTTGTTTTTTGAGATGGAGTTTCACTCTTGTTGCCCTGGCTGGAGTGCAATGGCGCAATCTTGGCTCATTGCAACTTCCGCCTCCCAGATTCAAGTGATTCTCATGCCTCAGCCTCCTGAGTTACAGGCACCTGCCACCACACCCAGCTAATTTTTGTATTTTTAGTAGGGACGAGGTTTCACCATGTTGGCCAGGTTGGTCTCGAGCTCCTAACCTCAGGTGATCCGCCCGCCTCGGCCAGCATTTTTTTTTTTTTTTTTTTTTTAAGAAAAAAGAATGTGCAACAGAGACCATATGTGACTTACACATATAGCTTGCCAATCTCTACTAGTCTATGCCTTAGAGTGCGAATTTATTGTATACCTATTTCCTGGATACTCATGACTTCTTTATAGTCACCTTTTTCCTGAGCCTTACACACTGCAGGCCTCTGAATCCTGCTTCTTGTAGCCAATCATAAATACCTTCCGTGCTGGTTACTACCTAATATGTAGTTACTAACCAAACTATTCTGTCTCCTTTCATGTACACTTGGGGTCTGTGGTCACCTAGGGTTAGAATTAAAATTGTATCCTTGGAATGGAAAGAACTTGATAGATGATGCTTTCCTCCAGTTCACTGTAACTTTGTAAAACTTAGCTTTTCAGTGCAGATAGCCCTAAATCTAGAAAGTACACAACTCCTGTTGATAGTAATTAGGGAGATTCGAAAACACAAACACAAAAATCCAAAGCTGTACTCAACAGGAGATTTCAGAGCTGGGGCCAGCTCTTTCTGTTCCTTCCCTCATACTTCATCCTGGTTTTGTTGAGACTCCTAAAATTATATCTGGTTTTTTGAGAATGTGTGTTTGTGTTCTTGTGGGACCATGCCTGGACAGAGGGAACCTTAGCTACTTTTGGAGCAAGACACTGAAACTGGAGTTGTAAGGGTGATACTAGTATAGTTCTAGTGATAGGCTTACCCAGATAGGGAGGCATTCCTGGCTTCATCTGTAGC